GAAAAAATAAGGGAGAAAAATATATACATGGATACACATATGAAGAAAAATAAATGATGTAAAAGGAAAGAGAGAGAGAGAGAAACAGGAAATGCATTTATCTTTCTTCGAAAGATAAGAGAAGAGAAAGAAAAGAAAAGAAAAGAAAAAGAAAAAAAAGCTAAAAAGAGAAAGAGAAGAAAGCATTGCTATCAAGTGCTGCCAATTAGCTAAATGAAGAACGTTGCTTGACAAATAGGGTCCCTTGGTATAGATAAAAAAAAGAACAAAGATAAAGAAAAATTGTCTTTGGTGGTAAGAGCGAGAGAGAAAAAGATAAAGTATTATGAAAACTTTGCTAGAAGAACATATGTGTAATAACGCACATATGTATGTATGTACGTATATGTGTGTATGTAAAAAGAGAGAAAAGAGACTCGTAAGATTTAAACAAAAAGTGGAGACGATTATATATACCTAAAGGTAGTGCACAATAGTCTAATAAAAGATTCACGAGAGGGTGAGTTTTACTCATTTTTCGATAGAAAAAGATAAAAAAAAAGAAAAAAAGAAGAAGATAGAGAAATATTGAAAGAAAAAGGCATTAGTAGAAGGTACGAATGTATCCTACCAACTACCACTTTCATGTCCTTTGCGAATACGACTGTGAAAACAGAATTTCATATCGCGTAAAAGCAAGCAAACCGTGTTACGACGTTGTGAGCTACGTGCAGGACACAAAAGGGAAACGTGGGAGGTCGAGCGTTGGGTTGGTTGTTCCTCGTTTTTTGTCCTTTTCTTTTCATTTCGTTTTTCACGTTCGTTCATTCGTTCGTTCGTTCATTCGTTACTTGAGTGGAAAATATACGATGCTAGCAAGTAAAAGTATACCTCTATCTTTCCCTTATCAACAAAATTTTACAACAAGGGAAAAGGGAGAAAGAGAAAAAGAGAGAAAGAAGGAGAGAAATAGAAAAACAAAACTAAAGAAAAGTCAATGACCGACACGCACACACTCACACACATATCTACACACACAAACAGGACAAAATCACACAGTACTCACAGACAGAAAATACGAGTTTTAAAAGAATTATATCGAAACGAGACCCTTTTCAAATCTATTTTCATACGCAATATAAGAAATCATTCAATGAGAATCACTTTTAACCATAACTCACACCATAATTTATCTTTCAAAAGTCTTCTCTGATCTCGTCTTGTTTGGTTAGCTTCCTTTCCTTTCCTTTCCTTTCTTTTCCTTTCCTTTTCCGTTACTTTCTGAACCTTTCACAACTATTGAAGAAGAAGCTTTTCTAATGTTCGCCAGAGAAATTCTAATGTAGATTTAGTTGGCCATGAGAAATACTATTATTCTCTTGTATTCAAATGCAACGAAACAAACACGATATTGCGTATATTGTATGTAAAAATATATAATATTAAAATATAATATTATATTTATATACAAAATATATAATATTAAAATATAAGAAATATTATATTATATAATATTAAAAATAAATATTATATATACATATAATAATAAGTTTATCACACAGTAAATATTTTCAAGGACTCAAATGTACATGAATTTTCAATCTAATTCTCTAACAAATAAATACATGCAATATGCAATATGCAAATATATATAGTGTGTAGCACATGTTTGTACAAATCAGGATTAACATAAATTTCATAGAATTTGATTAGTCGAAAAAAGAAATGTTAAATAACACAGAACAAACAAACGGATTTAAAAGGAATATTTAGTTTCTTTTCCCAGATAGAAAAATTCATCTTTTCTTATAATCCGTCTATCAATTTATTTATGGAAAATAAAAAAAAATAAAAGGGGATAGGATCCCAATACGAAATTCTTCATATTCGAGTTGGAAATTCTTGTAAATCTCGACTAGGGAGATGGCCGATGTTTTGCCGAGCATGGAATTCACATCATCTTCAGGAGTACTATACATTTCTTCGAGAAGTACTTGGACCACAATCTCGCATTCTAACATATACCTATGGCTTCCATACCCACCAGAGAATTCGAGGCAACCATTTTATCGATCACCACCCTCTTCCTCCTCCTCATCCTCCTCTTTTACCACCTCCTTTTCTTCCATAAACTCTACGTTCTTCTCTTTTTTTCTTTTTATTCTTTCTTTTTTTCATCTCAGTATTTCTACCGTCCCCATCATGTTTTCACGATTTTCGAGAGGTAGAACCATATATATATATATCACCCACAATCTCGTTCTTATCACCTGCTGCTATCCTTTTACCGTCATCTGCAAATCCATAGCTTTTGGAAAATATTCGAAAAATATAATATATATGAATCCTACTTCAAATACGCTCTTTCTCTCTTTCTTTCTTTCTTTCTTTCTTTCTTTTTCTTTTTCTCTTTCTTGATATATATATATATATATCTGTGAAGATTGGTTCTATCGAGAAAAATATGGTGAAAATTCAGTAGGTAAACAAGAGTGCTAGAAAAATCGAACTTAAGAAGAAAAAATTTCGAAAAAATATATAAAAGAAAGATCCTTCATTTTCTTTGATAAATTTTTAAACGTCCTGTTTTAATTTTCTTGCTAGTTTCACACATTAAATTTGTCAAATTATTTATGCCGATAATTACTTACTTTTATAAAAAAAGAAAGAAATATAAATATATGTAAGAACGATTATCAATGAAATTAAAATGAAATTCAATTTGAAATGAATATTTACAATGTATAATATATTTGAAATTTTTGATTAATTAATTTAGAAAAAACCAAAATAACAAGAAGACACATAGAAAAGAGATTATTTTCTAATAAATAACCCTTTCGTGTATCTACTAGCTGTCACGTAGCTGATAAATTTTTTTTTCTTGCATCCCTTCGCGTATACCCGGTCGTTCACTTCTTTCACTAGATACAAGTGGATGCTTCGGAATCGATTTGACGTTCACGCAGAGTGCGATTAATCCACCGTGTATATCTACACCCCGTTGACTACACATTTCCCATAAAATTCCGTGAGTCTATACAAATAGAAATTTAACGAACCTTTTCGTATTCTTTCAAAGAACAAATTATATTAAAAACAATCAAAAAGGAAAAAAAAAGATTCTTTTCTTTAAAAAATTTTCTTTTTACAGGAAAACATTTCCGAACAAATTTCTTTTTTTTTTGCTTTTTTTTTTTGCTACAAATATTTTTAATTATTCACATTTTTCTATCCGAACAATTTAATTTAATACCAACACGCGCACGATTTGAAATTAATTAATATTTGTTAACAATAACATTGAAGAAAAAGTAGAAAAATATCATGTGGGCAGATAACACGTGTTCGAAGTGAAACCTTCGAAAAACTAAGTTTCGAGAGAATGAGACGAATGCAGAATATCAGGTGTAGGATAATTGTAGGGTTGTTTTTTTATAATAATATTATTATATTATTATATTATTATTATCACACTGAAAAATTATTATACGTTTTATTAAAAACATATATAAATAGATAACATATTACACAGTAAGCAAGTTCTCAATTCAAAGAAATGAGACGGAAAAAAACCTCACTAGAGTATTTCAAAAAAGATAAGTACTTATAGTATTTCCGAAAATGGTGAGGTTTTTTCCGAAAAGTAGTGAGGTTTTTTCCGAAAACTAGTGAGGTTTATTCCGAAAACTAGTGAGGTTTATTCCGAAAAGTAGTGAGGTTTATTCCGAAAAGTAGTGAGGTTTTTTCCGAAAAGTATTTCTGAAAAGTCCGTAGGGTATATATTCCGTCTCATTCCCTCGCAGGTTCAATCCTATATGTTTGTCTCTTTTTTTCTCATTATTTAGTATAGCAACCGTTTCATAGCTCTGTTTTCTGATCGACCGTATTTAATTTTGTTAAGATCACTTCCTTTTCTATAGAAGTTTTTACTTTTAAAGTTTCATTAAATTAATGAAACAACCTTGGTTAAAAGTCTGGGAAAATAGGAATTTTTTTTCGAAGTTATTATTATTATTTCTCTAACTATTTATAATAATAATACTTATTATTATAATTATTATTATAATAGTTCTATATATGCTGTCGTGCTAGAATATTAGTTCGTCTTTTCTCGACTATCTTATTTCAAACTTATAATATACTTTCTTTCCCTTTCTGTTTTTCGTTCTCTCTCTCTCTCTCTCTCTCTGTGTTTGTTAAAATAATATAAAAAAAAAAAAATAGAAATTCTTACAAGTTTCTATAAAATTGACAGATATTCTTTTATCTTTGCAACACGGTTTCGTTAAAGAAACAGACCAGCACTCGAAAATACAAATCCCTCTAATGGCATCCCGAGATAAAAAGCAGTGCTTTGATCATTCAACTAGGTTTGACTGCTGCTTTCAACGAAGCAGGATGATGATAAAAAAGATAGAAAAAAGAAAAAAGAAAAAAGAAAAAGAAAAAAGAAAAAGGAAAAGCACAAAAAAAATTTCTTTCTAGAAAGTATTATGACGTTGGGGTAGGGGGGGTATACTTTATCTTTTTATCGAAGTGCATCGAAAGAAAATTAAAAGGAAAAATAAAGAGAGAGAGAGAGAGAGAGAGAGATAAAAAGAAAAGAAAAATCATCAACTAAATGAAAAATCGATTAATTATAAGAAAATACTACTCTCAAATGCATTTTTTTTTTTATATGATTTACCACACACGTACAATCAAATAAATTATATTATGTTCATTATATTATTATCGAGTTATTTCATTTTTTTTTTTATATTAATTAATCTAAATCTCTTTCTAATTTAAAAAAAAAAAAAACAGGAAAAATCGAGACACGTTTTATATCTGTCTCGTTTAAAAGGCAAATTATCTGATGAATAATTTATCATATTGTTTTTATATTCACGTTCACTATGATCAAAAGTGTTTAACAAAATTAAATGCACATTGAATTTTCCAATATTTCATAAAAAATTTTCTACAAAAATATATTTAAATATATATATATATAAGTATGTATTTGTTTGTTACAGGTAATATTCGTGAAATGGAACGAACCCTATCAGAAGTTAGCATCGTGTGATAGTTCAGGCGTAATCTTCGTTTGGATAAAATATGAAGGAAGATGGAGTATAGAATTAATAAACGATAGGAACACCCCAGTAACACATTTCTCTTGGTCCCACGACGGTCGTATGGCTCTTATATGTTACCGGGTATATACACGTATACCTATTTAATAATATATATATCTTTAAATTCATTTTATATATTTCGAAAAAAAAAAAGAAATATTCGTAGAATCGGATTGCGACGTCGGATTAATTAACGTCTAGAAACTTTTTCATTGATATCATTTCAATGATTTACAATCAAATTTGTATCAATACTGATTTTCAATATCGAATATAATACCGTAGTATCGAGTTATAACTTTATCCAATATACAATTAATTGAATATCCTATTTCAAATGTAATTAAAGAATATCTTGACGGACAATTAATATTAATTTATAAATAACTTATAAGATATACTATATTATTATACTTTTTAAGATAAGTTATAGTTATCTTTTTTTAAGAAAATAGTAATCATAATGTAATAATTGTTAAATTTGATTGAATTTGTATTTCTTATTTATTTTATTTTCTTTTATATTTTGTTAGGATGGTTTCGTACTAGTTGGCAGTGTTGGTGGACAAAGATATTGGTCGTCAATGCTGAACGGTAAAGCAACGATAACTTGCGGAATTTGGACACCGGATGACCAACAGGCAAGAATCATTTCGTACGGCAATTATTCGCGTGGTTTGTAGGCAAATTATAATCTAGAATCTATCAGCTCGTTTAAAAAAAAAAAAAACATGAATCGAACGTTTTACATTCTAATACGAATATCGTATGATTCATCACACTTTGAATAAATAATATTAATAGACAATTTGTGTGTGTGCGTACGTATGGGTGTGTCAACACCACGAGTTTATCAAGAGAAATATTTTTGATCATCTACGATGATGATAGGTTTATTTTGGAACAACGGCCGGACAATTGATTGTGATGGATGTTCATGGTGCAATGGTATCGGAGGTACAATTAGGAGCAGGTGTAACATCAATGGCATGGAGTGCTGAAAAATTTACAATGGAAGAAGGTGACGAAGATTTTACTAGCGATAGATCAAGAAGAGGTAATATTTACATCAAAATATTTCCATTGTTTTTATTTATAAAAAATCGAGTTCATTTGATAATTAAAGATAAATTTGTATTTTATAATTATCAATCTTTTTAACACGCACCTTTGTGTATCTAAATTAATTAACTTTTATTTTATATATATATATATATATATATATATATATA